CGCTACATTTTATCAATAGAGAAAGATTTTAATTTAGAATTTTACTGAATATTTTACCGAACGCTTAAAAATTTTAATATTGCAAAAACTAATTGTGCATATTACACAATTATTATTATTGTTGATATTTGTTACAGCATTGTATTATACAATGCTCTAAAACCGCCACTGCGCAAACCAAGGTTTACTTTCATCAGTAATGAATAATGGAATAAATTATGAAACGCTCACCTCGCGGTTGCTCCACCGCCACCGCCAGCGATGCCTCCCCGAGGCCACCTCCCCTTTCTCCGTTGCCGCGTCTCACAATTAGTCGCACCGACATATCTGCACGCTGGAAAACACGCTGGTTACAATTAAGCGCGTTAGTCACTCGGACGCAACGATCGCGCGGCACTTTGCACAACGCGCTCAATGTTAATCGCGCACGACGCACGCTTAATCACACGCTGCCTACAGTCGAGAGGTAAAACACGCGAAACTGCGAGCGCGTTCGAGCGCCCGCGACGATACGCAAATGAACCGTGAACGCCATCTAAGATGGCGGAGGGGCGCTGGGCGCATCGCGCGGTGCAGCATAGGCGCGCGCCAAAAGTGACGCGGCGACGCTCCACACCTGTTGCGCCTAACTTCGCGTTCCTGCATTTCCCCGAGTACTTCGACTAATAATTCAAGCTCCCTAATAATACACTCTCGCGGTTGTCGTTTCATTATCGAACACTTATGACCCGGCGAGAGACGACTCGTCGATCGTTGTCGAAGCGATGTCGAATCGACACCGTCAAACTGACGTCGACGCGACACCGGCGAAGCGACAATCGTATCCCGGTGAGAAATGATTCGTCGATCGTTCGACACCGTCAAGTTGACGACGATTCGGCGTCGTTTCGACATCGATCGACGAATCATTTCTCGCTGGGATACGACTGTCGCTTCTCGCCGGTGGATTCCCGCTCGCGAGATACACGCCCTAGCAAAATATCAGGTACGAGCGCCGAATCTGTTACACACGACGCGATAATTGGGTGATCGGCGATAAACGGCAGGGTTAATATGGATCTCGCTTACCAATTGAACGTGGCGTGACGCCGCTCATCCCGGAGACGATCCGTCCCGTGCCGTCCACGCTCCGTTAATGGCGGCGGCGCACAAATTAGAAGACGCGCGGCAACTTCAGCCCGGAGTCGCGTGCCGCGCGATTCAAACCGTTGTCTCGGAAATGTTAACAATGGTAACACATTGATCAACGAAATATTGCATCGACTAATGACCGATCAACTAAAATATGCAATTTAACGTCGTACGTCCGGTAGTTATCGAAATATGACAAATGTCGCGAATATATAATTTTATGTAAAATTGTTTGGTTAATAAATAATTGTTGGATAATTGATAATAAATAATCAACCACGCCGATCGATTGTTTCGTTTCATTTCGAAAGTCATTTGGGCGAATCTGATGGAAATATTCCAAGTTATGGAAAATCAATGTACGCCGAATATTCTGTTCCTTTCAGTTCAATCAGTGCGGATTATCATCGCATACTTTGAGCTTTGTTTTAATGCATTCGTTAACGTTACCTCAAACAATTCTATTCAATTATTATAGTTTTCGAACAGATACAAGTCCCGAGCGGGCGAACCGTCTTACTACCGGGTGTATTTTCAAGTTGTATCGCGGAATTAATGTACGCCCCGAATATTCTGTTCCTTATATTTCAACGAGCGCGGATTATTATCGCACACTTCGATCTCTATTTAAAGGACTCATTTGCGTCATCACAAACAATTGATTCTATTGAACTGTTACATTTCGAATGAACATGTTGTAATTTACATCTTATCTCAACGAATACAATTTAACTAACATAAATCGCATTAATGTATGAACGGAGAGAATTTTCTCTTAAAATTTACCCTGGAAATCGTGTGATCGTGGGACAACGTGGCATTTTGAACAACTAGATCCCAGATAGCATGTATGTCTAAAAGACGTCTTTTAGGCGGCATTAAGTTGTCTGTTAGACGTGTACGTCTAAAAGTTGTCTTAAAGATATCTTTACGACATCTTTTAGACATGCATTGCTATCTGGGATGAGTTGTTTGAAATTTTACCATACATTCTACTAGTAAAATTAAGTATAATTATTTGTAGAATGCATGGTAAAATTTCAAAAAACTCTCATACAATTCTTTGAAATGCCACGTTGTCCCACGATCACCTGATTCTCAGGATAAACTTTAAGAAACTTTCTCTCCGTGTACTGTTGATTATTAGCTCGCAAGACTTATTAAGCTTCGTGCAACGGCAGTGACCGAAAGAGTCGTTAATGAACTTACCAAATACGTGATCGTTGCAGAGACTATTTCACTGACGACGCATTTCGCGAGACTTTCGAGGGTATCCGGTACACAGGGTTGGGAAAGTTACTTTATAAAAGTATCTAGTTACAGTTTCTTCGCTAAAAATGCAACTATGTTACAGTTACTCCGAAAGTGACGAATCGTTACTTTGCAGTTACTTTCTTGCAACGAAAATAAAAATATCAAATTTGCATTTGAATCGTAAAGCGTCGATAAAGGCGTTTGTGCATTAATGTAATACAAGGCCTAATGCGATCTGCAGAGATTTAAAATATAAAGCAACTGTCGATATATCTATTAAATTACTAGTTACCGAAAAGACGTACCTGAGTTAAGTTACAGTTACAGATGGAGAGAAAGTAATGAAGTTAAGTTAGAGTTACCGAAAAAAGTGACCGTAACTGTAACTTCGTTACAAGTAACGAGTTTCACTTGCCAGCCCCGCCGGTGCACGAGGCAAATTGGTCCCTGATACGAGCCAACGATCCGATGGGACGAAACGAAAACACATAAATCGTGAAATTCGCACCATCCCCAAAAAATCGCCCATGTTTTTCGCGATACGTAATTTCATCGCGCGCTGATATCGCCGTTCCGCGCGATAATGAATACGCGCGCGTATCCACGAGCGCGGCGGGAAATATGAACTCGCGCGAGCGCGGATTAAGAATAAAGATAGCAATCATCCAACGTCGATGTTCGTCGTACTTTCTAAAAATGTTCCTGCTCCCCGCGGTGTGGGACGACGTAACGTTACGTCGTCGGGGCCTTAATCCGCCGGCGAGATCGTGGATCCTTATCGATGTCTTTCTACCACGCGGACACCCGGGACACCGACGGCGTCGCCGAACAATAGGCGAGGCAAGGGAGCCCACGTAACGCGCCGAGAGGCGCGAGAGAACGCGTCCTTCCGGCATTTTAAATATTCCTCTCGACGTTACACGCGTGTTTCCGCGTGCCTGTGCGGGGAACAATGCAACACTCCGCCGGTGGAACGAGAAGAGAAGAGTGTGGCAATTAAACGACAGGCGCTCCCACGCCCTGGGACATTGGCCCGCTGCACAAGCCGCGAAACTGACACCTTAACTTATCGCACGCATCCGTCCTAGTCAAACGACACGGCTCCGCACATCGCCTCCCTATTAATTCCACGACGAAACCGTCTTGAGCGCCGGTGCCCGGGCATCGAGTGATTTAACCTTCGATATTACCGCCGCTTTCTCCGCTGATCTCTCACCTTTCTGTTACATGCGGCACTTGGTTGCACACAAAATTCAATTGGAAATATATGTTTTTACGTCCTCCCTTTCAATTGCTTCTAATAACAGCGATTAAGCTCGCGCGGATGAATCGGTCACGCGGGCTGATGTCATTGATATTTGATACGAATAATTTATACATGTATAACGGTACATATGTAATCCGCGTGTAAATAAAAGTAATTTTGATAAAGATGATATCGCTTGGCCGCGGTTACCTTCTTACGACCTTTTCAGCGGGATTTTGCTAAGGCGAGTTAACTTATGCCTCTCCCGCATAATATAAAATAATGAGGCTAATAAACATGAAGGATTACCTCACCCCGGGATGTCTGCAATGCGGTCTCGTCGGTAACAATAATCACAGTAGAATATCGCTTTGAAATAATGGAATAACACCGCAGCGATGAAATAGACGGGCGTCGCGGATAGATTTCGGCACGAGTTCGAAATTGTGTTGTGAGAAAGACCGCCGTTTGCACAAATCGCCGTTTAGAACATCGTTACTCAACCGCTTTGTTAAGAAATGATTTTGTGCAACCTGGAGTCAATATACCACTTGTCTTTTATATCTCTGTCCTGCTGACGCATTAATATTACGATTTCGAAAATCACTTCTATTCGCGTGTGACATGTCTCCGCAAGCTTTCCAAAACGCCCTGTATATTCCGAGCTGCATACCTCGCAAGAAACAATTATAGAGACACTTCGCAAAATATACAGGGTGTTCCAGGAGGAAAGGCCAATATTCTGGGTGGTGGGTAGTATCGGTCATTTTCACCAAAAATACGTAGAAAGGGGAAAGTGCCAATGTGAGCCACAAAATGAACAGAACTCAGTTCTCACGCAATAAAAGTCATAGATTTTCTAAGATTGTGTCTTACGTTTTATTCGGTTTAAACGAGTTTCACTGAAGAAGACCCGAAGAAGGGTCGAAACGTTCGTTTCTTATTAAAGAGAAATTATGACTTTTATTGCTTTATATATATACTTTGTTTTTGGGAGCCTTCACTACCTTTTGGAATTAAGCAAACATGTTCATATGAATATATGTCCCATTCCCCACTGTCTCCGAGATAGAGCTACTTGAATGTCTCGCGCATTTACTTTTTCCCCCGTACACTTCACCCTTCATCCAACCTCATAAACGTCTACGGGAATTTACTCTTATACGTCTGTTGTGCTGATAACATTGTAGAACTGTTCAAGTTCTATCTCGGAAACAGTGGGGAATGGGACATATATGCATATGAACATTTTTGCTTAAAATGACCGATACTATCACCTCCCAGAATATTAACCTTTCTTCCTGGAACACCCTACATACATGTACGTATAGGTTGTATAAAGGAAATTTAAAAAATTCATGCTATAGCCTTAACAGTGTAAAGGTATTTACTCACAAAAGGGCAAACTTAAAAAAAAAAGAGCGATCTTATTGCTAATCCTGTCTCGTAATGGAAATCGGTTCGATATCGTCACTAATAATACCCAAATGTAGTCTCCTATAATAATGAGACGTGATGCACCTGACGCGATTGGTTTTCTTCTCGCTCATCGCTGAATTCGCGTCTGCTTGATAGAACGGATTCGTCGTACCGAAGTCCACCGTTTCAAATTGCTTAACGTCCTCTTCCTCCGCCAAAATCGGATTGATCATAAAGCACCCAATGAGCAGCCCGTAAAACGCGTAAGTTCGCAACTCCTTATTCAGCCATTCCATACCGAGCTCCGTCAGAATCTTCTCGTCTACGCGCGATCGTTGAAGTTCACTGAGAAACTCGTTGTGATAGATCTTGATGAGGCTCTCGAAACTCCTCTCGATTAACGACGATTGCACGCTGCTATATATGAAGTAAAGGATGTCCGTAGACAACGAGGTATACCTGATTATCTGGTAATCTACCATCTTTAGATCGATTATCCTGCCGTCGTCGTCGTGTAGGAAGAGCAAATTATTGACCCACGGATCACCGTGGCAGATCGTGTCATATTTTTGCTTCGGTGCGACGAACAGTCGACGCATTGCATCGTACGTTTTGTCGACGTAGATGGCAATGTGCTGTTTAATGGTTTGCAACTCCGGCGTTTGTGTCTTTACCATGTCTAAATATTGTAGTATCGACTTCACGCACATATCGGTGCACGCCCTCATTACCGATGTCTCGGAATTGTTCTTGTAAATTATTTCTTCGATATGCATGTTGAGCGTGTCAAACTGCCGCGGATCATTGATCTTTATAGCTAGACTCGACGCGTGTAACTTGGCAAGTTTCTGCGGAGAATATAAAAAATATATGCTATTAATTTAAGTGAGATATTCAGGTGAATAAAAAATATGTATTTATACAACTGTAAATCTCTCAAAATCGATGTAGTTATAAAATTGCCGAATTACTGACAAATTCTTGGATTATAAATAAAGTCAATTAAAATTTGATAAGAGTTGAAAATATCTTTCGGCAGTAGTTTTACAGAGAAATGATAAAAATATAATTAATATCAAAATATCATTTAGCTATTAATTTTCAAATTTTAAGAATTATCTTTGATTCTCGACATGCAATAAAATTAACATGTGAGGAAAAGAGTGCCATCTAATAAAATAATGACAAAAAATTAACAGTTGAGATTAATTCAGTCAGATTGGTTTATTAATTAAAGAAGTCCAGATTTATGTTATTTATAATCGCATAGATATAAAAACCTAGCAAGTTTTATTATTAAAAGTTCTTATTAATATCATTCCAATGTACAAAAGCCTGACAAGTATCATAAAATGTCGGATTATATCATATATTATATCACAGTAATCTGTGATATTGATCAGTCAAAAATTTCTATTCTAATCCATAGAAGATAATACTAGCCACATTGGTATCATCTCCTGGTTGTTATTATCGTTTCTTATCAATTTTTTGTATCACAGCAAATGGAGATAATATATAAGCAGTGCATGTCTCAAGGTCGATACTAGAACTTGGTCCAAGTTCGAGTTCCGATAAATGTGTAGCCTGTCAACATGCAGCTTTTATGGAATGATAAAGTTCCAGCGTGGACACGGGCCATCAGAATCAAATTATCAGCTGAATAAACGTACCTTTAAGGCATAAATAGTATGATCCAAGTCCATATAGTTGCGTCTCTCGCAGTTGACGTATCCCTTTTCAGCTAAATCCTCCATTATTATAGTATCTTTGTCGGCATATATACATTGAGGGCCAAAGGATCTAAGGACAGGCAATACTATTGTATAAGCATGTGCCTCCATACGGAATAAATCGGAAAGATCTACCAACGTGGAGATTTTGCTATCTCGGACGATCGTCTTCGTCATAAAAGTCTTGGCGTACGCTGTGCACACGTAGAAAAAAATTCAAGAAATTATCCATGTATGCGTATTCATGTGTGCTACATTTATAACATAGTTATTTTTTTAATACAAGATAAATATTTAAAAAAAATTTTTTTTAACTAAAACGATATAGATAAAATTCCACAAAACTAACACTGGAAATGTAATAAACCAGGAGACCAATTCAATTGGTGAATAATGAAAACATTTAAAGGAATTAATAAAACTCACTTCTGTTTAGACAATGAATTAATAAAATTTGCCGTAAAATAAGTTTTCATTTAAAATATAAACATAAGATATATGCTTTCTTGAAATATTACGTAATTTTGAATCGATGAAAATAAATAATAAGATATTGTTCTGTATCCCACTATCTCTATCGTGATTGTGAAGTTACGTAAATTAAAATTATTTCGTTTTGTGAAATCAGACATTATCGGGTCCCACTAACACTTTTCGTTTGTCCTTGTAATGATATAGAGCTAAAAATAAAAGTAATGAAACTAACGACTTCCATCTCCGCGTGTACCGACGACTTTCGTTCTGATCAACACCGATGTGTAATTGTCGCCGGGCTTCGAACCTGGCCTCTCCACGGCCTCCGAAATCACCAACTTGTCATCGTTTTCATGTTTTCTTAGATAAACTTGGAACCGTTTTATCGTGTCTGAAAATTAAGCATGTCAAAGTAGTATGAAGCGCTACGGGAAAAACTTACGGATAGTATTACAAATATTTCTGATCTTCAAAGCAGTGTTATGTTTATTTAACAGCTGCAAGATAAGATAAAACACTGAAATAAATTGCATTTGAACTAACATGCGTATATCAGTTTAAAGACTATTCTACAATTGCGTAAACGTGGTTGTTAGCGGTTGTACAGTGTTGTAAAACACAGTTTTAAACTAGCATTTCCGATTGTAAAGCCTGTTGTAAAAGATGGCTGAACTTGATCTTCCACGACTACAACGATATAGGACGTAAAAGCTAACTAATCATTCATTTCAATTACGACGTATCTCACTCTATTGTATATTACTTTGATGTACAACACTTACTACTACTTCTACTCCTACAACCCTACAACTACGTTTACGCAATTGTAGAATGGCCTTAATAATAACGAAACTTGCAGATATTACGCGGATCACGATGCTTCATGGTCGCAATAAATACGTAAATAAACTTGAACCTATTTGCAACATGTGTTCGTAAAGTAACGTGAGCTGTAGTCATGGTGTTGACAATGATGTAACATATCTTCGCAAGACGTAGGAACTGACTCTCGAAATTATGCAAGATCTTTGTCACTCAAGTATCTTGTCATTTAATTTTACTACTTTTATAAATTACATGACAATTATATTATTATCCTCACTCTAACATTCTTCATTTATTTTAAATAATATTTACTTCAACGACAGTATCATTAAGCTCTCACTGCTGTTTACTAAAATATTTCATATAGAAAATTACATTATTACAAGCCGTTACAAAATCATTAGAGTATGAGTTGTAAAACATCAAATGTTCAATGAAAAGCGCGATTCTTCAAGAATACTCGACGTAATGTTTCTAAGAAAGCGAGAATAAATTTAAATTTTATGTGTAGATGTAAATCATTTGAAGCCTCATGATTATTAAGTTTCAAAGATTATAAACTAGCAATCAGCTATAAATTATACGTTCCACGTAAAATTGATGCTAATACATACAATGTGACGTAATCAAATGGTTTATTATAAGAAATTATGAAGAATAAATAAGTTAGCAATAATCCGAAATTAAAACTGTAATATATTACGCATAGAAAAGTTTATTTTATTGAAGAATCCTTGGAAACTTTAGAGATTTATGTATATTTAGCACTAAAATCCGCCGTATGATCTTCTTTCGTTGCAAGGGGTTTAAAAAGAACATTTTTTCATAAAGTTTCACAACATTAATTTATTTTACGCGGGAGGAAACAAACATTGAAGGAATTGTTATCACACGTTTGTGTCAAAGTCTGATTCTAAAAAATTACATTTAAATTATCGACATTTCAAAATTTTTTTAATCCCTAAGTACGTTCAACCCAGCACGTCTCTTTTATCGTTTATTCGATAAAATGCTGCTGTTAACGTAGCGTAGTAACAGTAATCGCCTGAAATATTCGGATATCGCTGATTGATAAAAATTTCTGCAAACGTCGTTTGAGTAAATTTTCTACTGTCGTCAATGGTTTTAGCTGTGCCAGCACTGTAGTAAAAAGGTTAAATTTTATTCACTTAATGTGAAAATTATGTACGAAAGCTGCGAGATTTATTATTAATCTTTCTATTAAAATATTTTTTAAGATTAGTAAATTATTAGCTTACAAAACTACTATAATTTGTAATTTTTATAAACGGTTTTTAATCGTTATATGATAACCAAAATAACTAGCATAGTTTAATAATAGTCTTATCATCATAAATTATTACTGTCAGTGTTATCTTATTATTATTTCATTATTCATTCCATGACTGATATAAAACATAAAATAATAATTTGATTATATCATTAAATAAAATTAAATAAAAGAAGTAAAATTATAAAATAAGTTTTTATCTCAGAACGAACCTTGCATCATGTTTTAATAAAATTTTAATAAAAACTGAGTTACAAAAAAATAACGATATCGTAATTATTTATTTAAAATTAAAACAAAAAATATATCACGCTAATTGGAAAAATAACTATTACTTTTCTCGGTGAAATTGTAAAGGAATTTTTCGTCCAGTGACAGAGGAAAATTTGTTCGAAGATTTCACGTACCTGCGGAAGACCGGATAACAGCGCACGATCCATTCTCCATCATTGCGTATCACTTTACTGATTACGAACGTATGGGTCTTCGCTATTATATACGGCTCACCTATTCGTGCTCGCGCATTCATTCAACATCGGTCATCACAGAAGAACGGATCGACACTCAGTGATACGAGAAGCCCCTCTGCACGTATCGTTTTACTTGGGACGTAAACGTGTGAAAATGACATGACAAGATTGCATGACGTTACGTACGATTATTACGTACGATATACGTTACGTAACGACATTGCGAACGAGCTCGTTTCATTGGATGAATTGGCGATACTTGAAAGGTTCGATAGAGCTTCTCTATCTTTCTTCTTAAAAAGTTTCTCTATTTCTCCTCCTGCTAACGAGCTTATCTCCGAGATTAGTTGACAGAGCGGAATAAGATAAAATATATTTATTTAGTGAAAAAGATAAGTCACGTGCCTATCGATGTATGAAAAAAGCTAAGAGACAACCTTGTATACAATTTTGTCTTTTATTGATAAAACTTAAAAAATAATCACTAATTTGTAGACATGTGCAATTATTTAAATACCAGTTGTTTCAACATTAATCTTTCTAATAAGACACATGCAGAAATTTTTTATTTATTGTAATATTGTTATTAGATACGCAATTTTACGTTTACGTAATTTCACGTAATATCTTATTTATATTTTTCTTTGATTGAGTTTTTTTGCAGCTGAATGATTACAATTTTATGCGCAACTGTGTCTTAATTTGTCTATATAGCCAGCGTTTCAACACGAAGAGTCTCAGATATTATATCAATAATTATTGACAAATATTTACTCGTGATAATTAACATTAGAGTATATTTTGAGTATCTATTTATACAGTATTTGCTCTTATGACGGGTAACAAACATAATGTAATTATGCAATTCGTATTGTTTAATTACTGGCAAGATCAATCTATCGACCTTCATAATGGTTAACTATAAAAAAAAAGAATTAATTTTTACTACAATCATTAATTATATCGATATAAACTTTTTAACACCGCACTTACCTTTATAACTTCTTGCTTTTAATAGACCCTTCGTCTCTCCGCTAGTGGAAATAAAAAGAAAATATGACGCAGAATAAATGAAGATGAAGAAATACGTTGAAAGAAAGGGGACGGTAGAAGAAGTGTGGCGTGGAAGGATACCAATGTGTTGAAGTCAATACATATACCTTTGATAATATACCCATGTTCACATACAGGACAACCTTTATTACTTAATGCTGTACTAGTCACAATATAATACTACGAATTATTACAATATTAATAATATTATCATAGTCATAATAGGTCATAATTTTTAATATATATGTGTATATTTATATGTATACTTATATGTGTATTTGTAATATATTAATATACTTATCTATACCTTGTTGTTACATAATACACATTCCTTTTTCTTACATTATCACTTACCATATATAGATATAATGTATATAGATATAGATATTTATATATATATATGCATGTATATGTATATATATATACGTCATCAGGATGGTATAAATAATATTGTATTTCATAAAAGCACTTCTTGTTGCTTATAATATTATCGTTTTCATATTGTTTTTCTACCTCTGTTAATGCCACTCTTTCTCAACTTCTCTTCATTCTTTCTCGTTACCTTCTTCACTCTCACATTCTCTCTGCATTCTTTCTTTTTCTTTTTTGGTTTCTTACATTCCCAATCTTCTCTCTCTCTCTCTCTCTCTCTCTCACGCGCGCGAGCGCGCGCGCACGCGCAAACACATACACACACACACTTCAATCAATCAATCAATCAATCAATCAATGAATCACCTACTTCCTTTTTCTCATTCCAGGACGTCTAAAAAAAGTTTTTACTGGCTACACCCCCCGACTCTGCATTTATACTATCATTCAAATATCATTTGACTGCCTCACAAGTCCCACTGCTTTCCCCTTAGCCGATGGCCGATGTTTCTTTTTTTCTGCACGCGTAATTTTCCTCCGTTACTTACAGCTTCCGTTTTGCATCATTTTCTTTCTTTTTTTTTGGATTTTCCTGCAATTTATAAATTATGAAATTCGCCGCGGTTTTACGATATTAATGTTCCTGCTGCCATGGTCCACTAACATTCCTAGAAAAAATATTCTTCGCCCCGACGCTTTATTAACTATATTCGAACAACGTACTACTTACGAACGGATGTTCAAATCCATCGAGTGCTCTTTCTCTTTTTCTCACTTTTTCGCAAATTTTTTCTCTCAATTTTTTTTTTTTAAGAGTTTTCCGCATTTTCCCGCCGTATCAGAACAACTTGGGGAAGGGGTACGCGCGAGCAAAGGATCGAGAAGATGCGAGATTCTCGAATTCTTTGTCAGATATCATTCTCAACTCCAGAACTGGGTAAGATTCCACGAAAATTTACTTCATAAAAAACGAAATAAAAATTATCACTTGCACTGCTTTTCAAGAGATATATCTCAAATATCGGGACGTTGTTTAAAAAAAATATCGCAAGGCATAAAATGCATTAATAAATTTTGATTGAAAGAAAATGATTTATTTGAAATACTTGTCCAGTCCTGGAATTCGGGATCGGTGCTACAATCCTTCCGGCAGCGACAACGAATCATGCGAGAGCACTCGCCGATTTCACTCATCAGCATGTATTTATAACATACTCGTTGAGTTTCCTCTCGGGCGTAATAACTAGATTACAACGATACAAAATATTATTCGCCTAACACCGACATATCCAAGTGCAAAGGATTAAGTCTATAGCTCGTACGCTACTTCTAGCAGTTACGATGCGCACAGAGTAGGACTTTACCTGGGCATAATTCCATCGTGATGTGTGTAAGCGTGCGTGGACACAGGCAAAAAAGAAGAGAGAACGGAACAAGAATCGCGAGACTGCGAGACTTTCAGGACGAAGATGTAACTTTCGTTGCGAGTTCCGGCTTGCTGAATCCGAAGAAGCACTTGGAAAAAGTAGGCGTTACACCTGTTCACCATCCTCGACGTCGAGCGAACGGAATATACGACAAGATCGAGCCTCGTCGTCCCTTCCTTCTATTTTTATCCGATACGAAAATTCGTCATTGCCACCGCGATTCGTTAACACTTTCGTTTTCTTTCTCTCTCCTCTTCTTGTACGACTCACACAACCGCCGCTTAGCTCGTCGAACCTCGTCATAGAAATCCTCGAAAACTTTCATTGATATGTCATGGGGAAACCTCGACGGACCTAAGACACACGGCTGACAAGTGGAAATCGAAATATGTCAAAAGAATAATGGACAAATCTCGCATCCTCGCGTACGCGAAGAGCGCAATAAGAAACGAGTCACCTGCGTAAAAGCGTTGTCTCGGCCGCGGCACAGCCTCCGTTTTGGGACGATCGTAGTTGATTAAAACTTCCAGGAAGCAAGAAAGAATTGAATTGTACGAGAAGAAAACATCCACTTAGTAGGCCTCTTTAATAAGAACTTTGATTTGGAAGCTCCATCACCTGCGAAGCTCTACGCCGCTTCTTCGGCCTCGACATCGTCGTTCGAAAACGAGGAGAATCGTGCCACTTTGAAATAATGTTCCCGTACGAATGTGCGCTCGGAATGCGAACGCAGAGTCGAAAGTGGAAAATAACATTTGTCACGCGAGCTTTCTCATCGCGGAGCAAATCGGCGTCACGATCCGCCCTGTCGCGTCGCAAATTACCCTCGACTCGCGGGCCTCGCGGCCGATCGAACTTGAAATTTTTTTAACACCCTGTTTACGCTCGCCACGAAAATCGTATGATACCTTATCGCGATACCATACCGTTACGATGGGTCGAAATATAGCGACAGTCGGTGACTGATAAAAGACGACGATGCTTCTCTAATCTGTTCCTTTAATCATTAATTAATCTTTCCTCTCTTTTTCTTTTGATAATTGCTTGGCTTATCAGTTCTTTTCTTCCATTGTAAATGCGTCGAGGTAACGATTGCACTTGTAGTTGGCTGTATCCAAATAAGGGGCTTAACGCAATTCTGGAAGAATGAAAACTCTCGATCTGCTCATAATCTCCCTCTTATCGTTCGATGATGTATGTTTGTGCTTCCATATACTTTAACGTCGATTACATTCTAATATAAATATTTGTTTAATACGACTTATATGATTCATTACTGACGTATGATATAAGTGTAATAAAATGAACTCTACGACTGACTTTTTTACTTATTTCTTACAGGTACTTACTTTCTTATATATATATGTATATATGTATATATAAATGAGATAATTAATTAATTATGAACAGATCGATCCTCTTTAGCCGAATGTAGCTTTCGTAAAGCCATTGAATCTTACATTATTCATTTGCAAAGGATCGTATTGGCGTAACGGCATCCCTTGCCCTTTCTTCGAGCTGAGCGAGCAATTGACGAAATCATTTTAACTTCTTCGGCTCCCGAATCGTACGTGAAGACAATCGATGTAACGAAACTGTTCTCACAAAGTAAATTAAATATCAAATGAGAACCACACACAGCTTTGCTACGACCACTCGAATGCACGTTGCGTTATTTATTAAGTAACCGCGGGTAACAAACGCGCACAAGCGCACGGAGGCCTTTCGAGGCCAATGAGGGAAAAGTGAGGAGGAGAGTGTTTCAAGGGGAATACACGTAGAATCAAACTCGAACAAACGTCTTTGTACGAAGGCTATTTCGCGGAGCTCTCGACGGTATAGAGGTTGAAACCTGAGCGTTTCGCTAGATCCGAATGTGCTCTTGAAGACGCGTCGGGAATTACGATTAATCGTCGACGCTCGCGCGAGAAATCGCATCTTCCTCGATCCTGAACGGCGAATTCCAGAACAGCCTGTAACGACCTGCTAGCGGTCGGACTTGTCCACCGATACGCATCGAATCTAATCACGGAGAAAGGCCTACACGAAAATGACCGACCCAGCCCGCTTTTCACTTTCGTCAACCCTTGCCGACTGATTTGCATTCTTCTCGTCTCCCCCCGTAAGTCGCCGTCCGTCAACACGGACGATAATCGCTTATTTAGAATACCGTTATCTCGATTTACTTATGTTTAACGTTATCCAATAAATAGCTGCTTAACGATAATAGTATTTGCGCGTAT